TTTCTATGAGATATTTCAGTTAGATATTAGTAAGTGCCATATTGCTACCTCTTTTGAAGTTAATAAGCCGAATTTCATGTGCATGTTTAAAGACAATTAATAATTTATCTGATATGCGCATTTAACAGAACAGATTAATAATTAGCATTTCAAGCTTCTTTGAAGTAACCCATCTGTATAAAAACCGGTTCAATTAAAAATATATAAAAATATATCACTACAAGAAGATGTATTTCATTTAACTTACAATCTTATAAAGCATTAATTTTTAAACTCGTTCTAAGTTTTTTTTATCATCAGGTTATTATTTATTTTTGGGGAGCTAACATACATATTAGAAATTGAAAGATGTAATTTCAAACAGTTTTGTCAAATTTATCGCCATTCACTTTTGCCAACCTAATTTTCGACTGATGTGAAAGTATCCAAAATTTATTATTTTCCGACATTTTGCGCTTTTCATTTTTCTCTTCAACGACACTGTTTTATACAATTCCCTTCCATTACTCTTAATAAAGCTACCTCAGGAAATTTTGATTTCTTCTCCCTGCTAAGCTTAAGCTCATATTTTTTCATTCATTTCCTTTCATCTCTGCCGCCAATGCTTCAAATTCAATTTAAAACTTCACCTTATCCATTCGCGTAACATGCATACACATCCATCTCTTTAAACTTCATTTGATTTTTTGCATGTATGCGGTAATTAATTATAATTAATTATCGGCATTATGATTCGAATCCATTTAATGATGCTAAGATACTTTATTATATTACGTAAAGTTGACAAACGAGTTTAGAACAATGCGGGTTTTTTATTTCATTTTGAAACAGTTGAATAGATAGATTTGTTGGGGAATTTTAGAAGTGTAGCCAGCAGTTTGTTAATTTCGAGTGTTAACATAGATAAGAAAGAGTTCGACTTGTCAAACTTCGTAGAAGCGGAAATGTGCTCATCTTGCATTAGCCCTTATCTCGCAATTCGAAATTTCGCAATTCGAAATTTTTTAATTATATTTAATTCGTGATTAAAAATACACTAATCTCAATTAAAAAAAGATATAGTGTCGTAGCATAAAAGTGATGTGAAAGGAAATCAAAAAGTATTCTCTCAATTTTCTTTTTTTTCTAAAACATTTTTCCTTTCTGTCTGTTCTGATATGTCTTGTAGGGTACGATGATTTTCTTCTTATTTGGTCTGAGAATTCTTAACATCCGGAGGATAATGGGAATCATTTCTTTAATTGAGCGAAAGAGAATTCTCAGTTTTCGTTGACTTTAGATATAATTTTAAGCAGAGAGATTAGAAAATTAAAATGTTATCACTCAAATTATCGCAAAAAAATTAAATTATATCTCAAATTATCACATCGAAATTTTGATAAAGCGGAGGAAAAAAACAATGTGTTAGAAATAAATTTTTGCATTAGAAATTTAAACATTTTTTTCGAAAAATTGGAGAACTAGAAATTTTGTTTCAAATGAACGGAATATTTTCCAGCTTCAAATAAATTAAAAAAATACTGACTAAACTATATTGATGTGATTCATTCACCAAATAATTTGAACGACTGAATAATTCTAGTCATTTAAATAAAAATTCATTGAAGCATAACGGGATGTAGAAATATGCCATCAGAAGTTAATAACAAAAATATGCTATCAGAAGTTAGCAACAAAACAACAAAAGTATTTTCAATTATTATGTGAATATTTCCTGAAGAACGTAAAAAAAGTTTTCATTAAGAGATAATCATTCCGTTTTCATACCACTTATCAATTCTTCGCTTTTATTTGCTACAGTCAGTTTAAATATTAGAAGTTGGCGTACTTCCTCATACTAATTCTTTTTAAACTCTTTCAATAAGTTAAGCAATCATTCCAGACTAATAAATAAAATAGGACCAAAGATTATATGCAATTCTGAATATCATCTTTAGCAGTACTTTTTGACTATAAACAATTGATGAAACTATATTATTGGTACTGTTCCGTTACATTTTCCTTAATTTTTAATCAGATATGATCTGAAAAAACTTTTTCAGTTAATAAAATAAGATGAAAATAATTATGAATACTTATAATGGGTCTGTTGAACTTGAAACGAAAGAAACGTTACAAGCAATCAAATTCCAATTCCATTTAATTCTATTCCTTCTAATCTTTGCCTCCACTTGCAATATCCCTCGTAGTAATTTCAAAAATCATTTTTTAAGCATTATTGCACCATTTTTGAAATTGAATTAAATGTTGCTAAATTTTTCTCCTCCTCTTTCAATTGAATTAAATGTTCAAAATTCGATGTGTTCATTAAAACAAAATATCTTCTCATTTCTGAAATAAAAAAAACTTTTCAAAAAAAAAGAATAAATGTTGAATGATTTCCCATTGCCATTTTATTTCCTCTTTTTCTTTACTATTTTCCTCTTTCTTTTTCAACAAAAGAAATATCAAAACAACATCTTAATGCTTTCTTCTCATCCACATTAATTAATTGTGTCGTCCTCAATATCATCATTATCCTTATCATTATCACTATGGTCAGCACTATCATCAATCACTATCATTCTTAACAATTATCTTAAGTTGTCATCACTATTAAGTACCATCGAATAGACAAGAAAGGAAAAAAAGTTTTGATTTTTATCAGAATTAACTCATTCACTTTTCGCTATACAATCTTTCAGCTGCATTACATTAGCCATTGTAGACGTCACAAATAGTTTGTTTTCTTTCATTTATCATAATCTCCTTTTTAACGCCTCAGCAATCTATTAAGTAATTCAATTCCTGTAATGAATTCTACAAGGAAACTCTCTTTCTTTTGTGAAACTTTTTCAAATGCAAAATATGCACCATAAATTTTATCATCAAACGAAATATTTTCGAGTTGCGCATACAAGGTTTTGTTTTAGCAAGCGAAATGGAGTAATGTCGAAGAACAAAAAGTAATATTTGCTTAATTTCCTTTTAATTTTCAAATTATTTGATTTTGTATAAAATTAGAAAATTACAAATTTATTTGTTCATTCATTCATTTATTGCTTAAAACTACTTCTTCCTTGAAGAGAAATCAAAGAGAGAGTTAGTGCGTCTCCTGGAAAAGTTACAATAATTCCATATTCCTTTGAAATTCACCTTAAAAAATTCTTATTCCAGGTCTAGAATTGTCTAAGTTTGATAATCACAGCGGAATTTTTTATGATCAGTTTGCGCCAAATTATTTATGGATTAAAATTGAAAAAATAACATTATGATAAAGCCTTGTCGATATTTCCGTGCTAACTTAGCTAATTTTTTTCCCTCTTAAAACTAATAAAGTTAAAAAAAACTTTTCGCCTTTACACTTTTTCCTTATTTTCTGTGTTCACTTTTCTATCTGCAATTTAAATGAAGCTAAGCCAAGTGACTGCCAAAAAGTGCTAATAGTAGTAGAAAGGTAAGAGGTCACATCTTTAAAAAATGAATAATTTTCTGTGACGTCGAATAACAAATTCAGTCATGAAATAATCAATGAATAAGTTTTCAATGTACAGTTCACGCAACACTTGTTTTTTTCTTCCTTTTGTTTTTAAACTTTCTCTTTTCTCAGCTAATATTACTCTTTAATTTAAGCCTATTAAGTTATATTTAAAATTATATTTATAAAAAAGCAATGTAGAAAACTCCATCAAATACAATGAAAATAGTTTATTGCAGTGGTGTGAAATTGAATTAAAATTCTTATTCAGTAAGTTTATTGAAGCACGAAAAAAACTTAGAAATGTAACTCTGACTGTAAAAAGAAATAATTTTGAAATGCATTTTTTGCTATTTCAATGATGTAAATTTGTCAATTTCTCAGACAACGCTTACCAATCAAACACTTGGGAACGTTTTAATAATGTCATGATAATTTATTTTTAACTTTGTTTCTTTCTCCTCAACGAGTAATTCCAATGTTTAACCATAATATATATTTGGCGTTATGGAAAAAAATGCTTTGGTGAAAAGTAATTCCTAAAGAGTTCGTTAAATGGTAGTAGATTCACAAATTATGTTAATTTTCTTCATTTTTAATTATATTTTAACAACTTACTACCATATTTCAAAAAATATAAAAGCGCTTACTCTATGCTAACAAATTTAATATTATATGAATTTATGAAAATTGAATTTTGAATATTACTAAATTTTGATGAAATTTAGAAAATATATTATTGCACTAAAATTTAATTGACAATATCAGATTTAACAACAAGACCTAAGAAAGTGATTGCATTCACATTTTTCAAATTCATTCATTGTAAGAATTCGCTCAACTTCATTTCATTCATCTCCATTTCATCCAAACTTTTTTATCATAAATTCTCAATTTTATTGTTTGTAAAAGGCAATAAATAATTAATTGCTCCTTAATGAAGCAGTTCATTATCGATGTATCGATTAATTATTACACTGCAAAATGTTCTGTTTTTGACTTTTGTCCAACAGATGCTAATATTCAACTATAATTACACAAATAGTGACACAACACTTTAATCTTGTTTACTTACTATTTGGAAAGATAAAATTCAAAATCATTTTATAGTTAGTATTCGTTGGTCAGTTGATGATAGCCACAAATTTGATATTTCTTACAGTACCATGATTATAAGTTCTTCTCTCATCAATGACACCTTTTATTATTTCTTCGTTACTTATTTACCTTCCATTTTAATTGCATGAATAACTATCACAAAATGTCATCAATGCTTCTTCAAATGACTTCAACTCTTTATGCTAATATTTAATGTCTCTGTTGTCGGAAAAAGCATTATTGAATTATCGAACGATTGGTTTTTCTAATACATGCAAAAATAGTTTAAAATATAACTACTGAAATATTAATTGACCTTGGTAGTTTTATGATGGAAATTCATTAAAAAGATAGGAGAGAGAAAGATGAACGGCTAAACTTAATACAAATCAATAATTCAATTTTAATGTATTGTATGTGTGTTTTTTTTGCTAGAAATTAAGATATGAGGGAAAATTTTCCATCCAAAGTTTGAACTTTAATTTAAATTCAAACTATAAAAGCCGTAGCATTTTGTTAAACAAATATTTATTAATTCGTGATTTTAAAATAGTTCATCAAATTTAAATTTTATATATTTTTACAGGAATTGATAAGTTCGGGAACGATCGAACGTAACTGGCGTGGTATTATTATTGCTCTATTGGTCATCGCAGCCATGTGCTCACTTATCGTAGCCGCTGCACTCCTTATCACTCCACGTAGGTCATTCGCTTAGTTGTCTTCAGTTAATCTTACGTTTGCAGAAATAAATTATCAAAGTATCTGAAGTATCACTGATCTATTTTAAAAGGAAATGATTATACTGTGATCGGTATTTTTTCTCTTTATCATAACAATCTAAGGAATAAAATAGTTTATAAACAGTTGGATTTGTAATGTTACTTATAAAAATTAAGGTTCATTTCGATATTCTCAGATATCATACTGTTCTCTTTTAATATTCAACAGGTGCAAATTATTACACGTAACGTACCTTTTCAATAGCCATATTACTAACTTTACAGTAAATTTTACTTAATTATAAATTAATTAATTGAAAAGCTAAACTTTCGTAATGAATATAACAGAATGGAAAAAAGCTTACAATATGCACATAAAAAGTAAAAAAAAATAAAGGAAATTTCAGTTTCATTGCTTATTATATCGATAGTAAATGTATAGCAATTCGAAATCTTATAATATGCATTAAAAAAACAAACCAGCATTGAACATTTGTTGTTACATATAATTTGATAATAGCACAGCTTACCTTCATGAATTATCATACATCATCTGTTTGCACTTAATTAACTTCTTATTATAATGAATTTTTATATCATATTTTAAACCACTCACACAACAAAAATACAAAATAACTCGAAAAAGTTATTGCATTCTATTGCTATTAATCAAATAAATATGGAAATTGAAGAAATGAGGCGAAAGAAGTTTTTCCATCGTTTCAAGGTGAATTGAGATTTTTTGAGTTGAAACGTATGGACGCATTTTGAGAAAGAACTTTGAAAAACAAAGTAACCGGAAATTACTTCGAAATTTCATTCCACTGATACATTTTTAAAATTCCATTTCCCTTCTACACATAAGTAAGTAGCCATAATTGTTGTTACTGATAACATTCAATTATCGGGCTGGTTATCACATAATTATTGAAGCGTGTTCATTTTACTCAAAATATACCGAAATTTATTCAGCAAAGAATTCTACAATTACTTATTTTATTGATTGTAACTTCAAAAATACTGAATGTTAAAAACTATTTATCTGTAATCATTTGTAAAATATTTAACTAAGTTTATTAGCAATTTCCTGATACCAAAAAATTTTATCTTTTATTTGAATTTCAATTTAAATTACGAAATTGTAGCCAGTCTTACTGGAACGAGTAAAGGGACGCCACTAACGTTAACAGATATTTTGCATAATGCACTATTAAGTCCAATAGAGACAATCGACTGGATGGACAATGATCGCATTGTGCTTAGAGCAACAAATTTTATCAAAATAATCAACATTTCTTCATTTCCGGTCATTTCTGATTTCTACACCAAGGAAGATATCCTGGTTAGTAACAGTATTTGAGATCAATACTTGAGATTAATGAATATATATGCTTTGAAAAGTGAGTAAAATATTACAAAAGTTTTTTAACCAAATTTAGATTTATGATTGCTTACTCTTGCTAGTCTATTAAATTTTTACTATTAATGGACCAATTTAATTTATTAAATTTGATGAAATTATTTGAATAATAGGAATTTTATTTATAGGGTAGACAAGGACATCTTAATCAATTTGTTTTCTCGCATGACTCTTCCTACGTTGTTCTCTCATATGATGATAAAAGGGTAAATTATGATCTTTTTTGGATTTTAAGCAGTGAAGAGATAATATTTATCAAAATTTTAACTTTTAATACTGTTAAGAGCCTAATAATGAATGTGATATTTAGTCTTTATTGGAATCAATAAAAATACCTTTCTTTTAAAATTCATAAATTATTCTGCAGGTATAATTTCAGGATGGTAATGCTATGACTTATTTAATCTATTCCATTCAGTCGCAGTAAGTCTTTTTATTTATTTCTCTATTAAAGTTTTAATCAGTCTTTTTAATATTTTGTTATAGAATTTCCGATAACATTCACATTCTGTTTGTTGCAGAACATTTGTATCAGTCGGACCGTTAGGAAAAGGTGATGAATTATTGCAATTATTTGTTTGGAATCCAACGTCAAACGATTTTGTGAGTTTTTGAATGCATCAAGATAAACAACGATTTTAAGATATGATAAGTTATAGGTTAAAGGGGAATATTAGAGCGATTCAATCTAGACTTTGACCCTTTTAGCATAATATACAATCTTATATCTTTCCGTAATATTACGCTTTCTCGATTTCGATGAGTATTATCTGTGAATTTATTGCTGATACAGTTTTTTTCTTTCCTACCTTCAACTTTAACCTTTCTCACAACAAATTGTTGTTTGTGGACAGTTCTCTTGAATGATATTTTATGAGGGATAAAACGTTGTGAAGAAAATGGCGTCAGCAGAACATACAAAAGGGTTATTTATCTTTTCCAGGATTGAATTGTCACTTGTCATCCACAATAACCGGATTATCTGACTGAAAATTTTCAGGATAATTTGTTATATAAATTCTAATAAGAAGAAAAATTGATTTTATACATCCAAAAGTAAGAAATGTGTAAACGGACAAAATTGTCTAAAATTATCTGAAAAGTCTTGTCATTTTCTGGGTTCAATCACATCCTTCAAATATTCCGGATTTCAATACAAAAGAACAGCACCTTAACTTTCCAAGAGCATTTGTTAGATGCAGCTATTGTTGGACATTCAATAAAATGAAGTTGCTCTAATTTCCAAATTTGATCTATTTGACCTCAAAATTTGACCTTTCAACTTTTTTCTTAATTTTTGGAATAAATTTGAGGATTTCTTGCTTTGAATAATTAAATTAAAAAGTATGTATGTGAGGAAAGAAAGATTATATGAAAAGGAACGGATTCGTTTTATTATTCTACAAAAGTAGAATAATAAAGCAAGTCCGTTATATTTTTTAAAAAACATTTCAGCAATTTTTTATAAGTATTTACAAAAGTAATTTATATTCTTCATTACTTGATTTTTGAAGAAAAAGTTTTAGCGAAATAACGGTTTTGTAGACATTTGTACACCGGAATGATATTTATTACGGCAGGGGACCCGATGATAACCATATATACCAGATTACTCGAGATAATAATACATTGATTTATAACGGTGTTGCGGATTGGATTTATGAGGAAGAAATTTTCAACAGCAATGTAGTAAGTAAATATATTTAAATCGATAGAAATCTATCAATAAAATGCTATTCTTTGATACAATAATAATAATTCACTGTTTCCTTAAGGGTTTGTGGTGGTCAAAATCAGGACAGTATTTGGCTTTCATCAAAATTGACGATCGTAAAGTTCCTTTAATACAGTATCCACTATTCGGACAACAGCAGTATCCGATGATGAATAAAATACCATATCCAAAAACAGGTGTCAAACATTTACCTGAAATTACTATCAATATTTGGGATAAGAAAAATAAAATATCTCGAGAAATGGATATTGTTCTTGGAGACAAAAGGTTTTTTTCTATGATAATATCAAATGATAAAAGTAGCAGTACTAGTTCATTTTAAATTCTTAGCTAATATTAAGATATTTTAGTCCATATTAAATAAGGATATTCAATTTCAGTTAACTTAATTATGCAAATTAAAAAATGGAGATATAAAGAAAATGCTTTTAGTTTATCCACTTACTTATTCTCAGCCTCCTGGATATCACTCTATAATGAAGATCTTTTGATGGCTGTATTTGTTAACAGATATCAAAATATAGCATCAATTACAATTTGCACTTTCGACTCCGGAAAATGTGTTCTGGTAGATCAGTTTTACTGATTTAATATTTTATGATATAAGAACTTCTCACTTCTTATTGGAAGAATAAACGTTTTTCTCAAATGCTACCACACTGATATCCTTGATCCCTTTGTTTTAAGTTCGCATCTTTCACTAAAGCCATCATTTTATTTTCAGAAATTATATCTGTGAAGCAGAAAATCTTCTAATTCATGCCTCAAAATCTATAATTTTATTTATTTTTGAAAAAGAACATACCTATATTCTATTAATTTTCAGAATTTCAACCAGTACTACACTATTGCCGGACATAAATTGTGGGCTGAACCGGAAAATTTTCGTATTCGACATTTTTCTACTGATTCATACTTTGTTAGTTTACCTGGACACACTGCATCCGGTGAAATATTCACTCAGATTGCTCGAATATCCGTGTCTGTAAGTCTTGCACACATCTTTGAATTTTAATAAGATTTAATTGTATTATCGAAATTATTTTTCGTTTACAGAAAAATTACACAAATGGAAAAGCAACATTTCTTACACGGGGTAATTATGATGTAACATCAATTATTGGTTATAATCAGAGAACAAAACTCGTGTGAGTATATTTTCAGTATTCCGATATCTTTCTTGACAGACTGTTCGTGGTTTGGGACTTAGTAAATTCGTGATAATTCCATTTCAATCAATTGAGAATAATGTTGAAATAGTTAGTTTTGAATATTCAAAGGAAAAATGTTTTAAATGACTGTTCAGACTTAGACTAATCCCAAATAAGACGATCAAGCTTATAGTAAGCCCTCTCCTAATTCATCATTCGCTTATCTGAACTACATTTCCTGTCCATTCCAGAGTAAATCTGTTAATTTTCTTTTAGGTACTTTATGGCTGCCTCACCACTTCCATCACAAAGGCATATGTATGCAACTTCATATTATGTGGTGAATTAGTTTCGTCTTAACTTAGTTGAAACTAAATTTTTAGCAATTATTATTCCTTTAGCAAATTAATGGAAATATGTAAGAAGTCGACTTTGAAATTTCAACTTGAAAATTTGTTTGAAAGAACAAGAATGTATAAATCTTTTACAGCAAAAAATTTAATTTCAGACAAGGAATAATAATTCAGCAATATGTGTGACATGTGGTGTTGCACCAGATTGCACCTTCCAGGATGTGATGTTTTCGAGTGATGCAGACAAATATATCCTGAGCTGCCTCGGTCCGGGCATACCTCGAGCATATTTCTCATCCATCTCCTCTAACAATTCATTGAGTAATTTTTCCAAAAAATAAAATATACCTTAATCCTTGCCTTTCTGATAACTGAATGATAACTAAAGCTGTACTTTACAATAATATTTTTTTTTCAAACGATGAAAGGTCTCCTTTATATGTTTTGTAAGAAATTTTCCTGCTATTTTAACAATGTAGAAAAAGCTCACTGCTAGTAAGGAAAAAGATGACTTCATATCATATTATATCACACCATACCTTACACACTTTGTAATCAAAATCATATCTTACATTATACTCCGTAGTGGAAGAATTGACAGAATGGAAGAAACTGGAACGAAAATACAATGAGAAAGCTCTCGCTACAACACGATATGAAAACATTACTTTACACAATGGATATGGCAAGTGTTGCATTTCCTCGTTTGAAATCATTTTATTAGATATTAGATCCAAAAGACTTTTTGCTTAATTTCAGCCATAACAAAACACTGCCGATATAGAAGGAGTTGAATATGATTGGAAACTATCAAATATTAAATGATAATTTAATAATAAATGAAATGTTAAAAGTAAAATTAACGTTGCAGTAGCAATCGTGAAGATGTTATTACCGCCAGGTTTTGATCAAACAATTATCGATATCAAATATTCAGTTATTGTTTCCGTGTAAGTTCCTATTCCTTCTTGTTTATGATGATTTTTCTTTTCATTGTAATTACATAACTATTGATTTAATTTTCTTGTTGAAGTATTTTTCAAAGTTTGCATATTAAATCGTCTAAGAATTATCTTTTGATTTTTTTGGAATCTTATTCTTATTTTCCCAGATTTTTTGCAGATATACCGGACCAGGTTCACAAAAGGTTACTGAAGAGATGACACCGAACACATTGGATATGTTTCTAGCATCAAATGCAAAATATATTGTCATCTACATCGATGGACGAGGATCCGGCATGAGAGGATGGAAATACAAAGAACCAATATATGGCCGTTTAGGAACAGTGGAAATTGATGATCAAATTGAAGCAGTAAAGTAAATTTTCCCATTCGTTTCTTTGATTCTCTTAGAAATTGAGTTGGAAAGAAAAGGTTTTGCTAAGTTTTTAATAATTCTAATTTTTTTCAAATTGTGAAAAATTTGAAAATTTTAAATTTCAATTTTTTGATGGACATACTGTTTGAATGTTATTATTTTTTTTCTTTTTTCAGAATTTTAGCTTCCAAATATCGATTTATTAACTCGAAAAATATTGCAATCTGGGGATGGGTAAGTTTTCTATTGCAAGCTCTGCAAAATATTTGCAATCATTTTAAACAAATTAAAATTAAAAAGAACTTGAACTCTAAAAAATACTTATTCTACCTAATTTTAACATAGTATCAGCCAAAATTATATTAGTCCTGTAAAAATATTCAAAGAGTATTTCATTTAGTTTGAATTAATTAAACATATATGCTAGAATTACTACTCTATAGTTTTACATTCAGTCATATGGCGGATTTGTCTCAGCTCATGTGGTTAAACGTGACACAGGTCATCTGTTCAAATGTGCTGTGAGTATTGCACCTGTTACAGATTTTAAGTTGTATGGTAAGTTTTAGAATATATACAATGGTGAGCCATATGAGAATATTCCTATTTTTGCAATTTTACTCATTGACTGTGATTTTTGTCTATTTACACTTAAATTTTCAGAAATTTCGAAATTTACAGATGCCACGTACACAGAACGCTATATGGGTGATGCAAGTGAACTTGCATACGAACAAGCTAATCTTGTCAGAAATGTTAGCATGTTTAAAGAAGTACAATTTCTATTGGTGCATGGAATGTCTGATGGTAAGAAATTTTAAAAAAGTTACTTTGGCGATTCGTAATAATATTCTCATATTCTTCCTTATCTATGCTTAGGTCAAATTAAGGTCAATACTATCATCTTTCACTTGCAAAGGCATAATGTTGCATCATTTGCTTGATATTCTTACAATGGTAATTGGAAAACAATCGCCATTCAAATTAAGACAGCGATCGTAAAATGATTTCAAATATTCATTTTTTTTTCTGTTCAATTTAGCCAATGCTTGCAGATAACGTCCATTTGCAAAATTCCGCGCAACTAATAAGAGCATTGGGTGAAGAAAATATACAATTCCAACTTATGGTTTGTTTTTACAAATTTGTGAAAACAAACCAATATGAGCAAATTTTGAAGGGATCACTCAAAGATTTCGTAACTAAAATTTCAACGACTGGTCATTTGGAATATCTCTTTTGATTTCATTATCAGTTTTGGTACTTTATTAAAGCGATATATTCGCAGTTCTAAAGCATTAAATTGAATACATACCTCTGTTTTTTTACATAAACATCAAAACATTCTGTCTAACATTTCTACCTCTCTAATAACATAATTCGCACAGTTTTATAATGCTGACCTTCAACCTTCGAATTTTAACTTCAAATCTTATTCTTTTTAGATTCCATTATTTTTGACTGTGCGGAAACTTTCTAGACTTTTCCATAATGAATTTTTTAATTTAAATTGAAGCAAATACAGTAATATAATTTGCAGGTATATCCAGATGCAAGTCATAACCTGGTTTGGGCTCGTCTACACTTATTCACAATGTTGACGAAATTTTTTGAGAAATGCTTTCAACGTTAAATATAAATCCCCAAAAATGAAATCGAGAAAGAAAAAGAACATTTAAATTGATTCAGTTTAGGTTATTTTTGTTCCTCTTCATTTTGAAATTAAACTGTATGAATCATTTTGCTGCTCCTTTTTCCAATTTTCTGGCCTTTGTTATCCAAATTCACTTCCTTACATTTTTGTTCGGAAATCCCATTTGAAAAAAAGTGTAATTCAAAATTTGAAATTTAAACTTTTTTCTTATCAATTTGTTGAAACATTGCATCATCTTCGAATTTTGGATATTTTATTATCCTTATAATACTTTCTAAATTGTATTATTAATCGAAATTAATAGTACTATAATTAATCGCTGGTTAATCGATATTCTGGAAGTAGTTCCGTTTTTACATCGTATAGTTTTGTGATGACTTGCCGATTATTTATACGGATCTCACATACTTCTCTTTTAGCTCATTTTTTTATCACTCAATTATTTTTTTTTTGTATTTGAGTTATTCTAAACAACAAAATTTGGACATATTATGATAGCTGAAAAATGACAGATCAACTTTTTTCCTTACTTAAAATTCAAAATTTTCAAATTCCGAGATTATTTTGTTAATTCTGATACCATGCTTTCTGAATAGTAATTCTTTGTATATATTGCCTTAATAAATTTGCTGTTTGAAATTACAAATCAATTTTCACCGATGACCGTTTTTACAGTTTATTTTTATTCGAAATGTTAGTAATTCATACAACAAATATTTCATAATTTATCTTTATGATTAAAAAAAATTTCATAGAATCACGCGAAAAATATTTGCAAAATTTTCGATCGCGAGCTTGAAAACTTCTAAAAATCAAATTAGAAGGCACGTAATTAACAGTCGATGCAAGATTCGGTGATCAGTAAAGATGCAGAATTGCAACTTTTTCAATGATCCGTTAATTCCCACGATTATTTGACATAACATGGTCAATTAATTAAGTGCTCGATCGATATAATAACAGCTTACAAGTTTTCATTGAAAGGCTGCGTTAAATGCCTAACCGATAAATTCATTCAGATTTGTCGTATGTGAATATGTTTCTCACAGATGAAAGTTGTTTCCTGGACGGTGTAAAATCTTTCGAAGTTTTGGATGGTTTTCGGACGGCATTAAGTCTTTCAGGGTTTTGAGCGATTTTGAATAAAATTTTCAAAGTGAAAATCCAGTTGAATGGAATTGAGCAGTCTGATTGTAAATAAGTTTCTGCAGAAGAATCTGCCAGACAAAGTTTTTGTTGTTTTTCAAGTGGGTTTGTCGTAAAAATGTAGTGAATACACTTTATCGAGCAACGTGTAATTATTGCAATGATGTTTTTTTAACTTTTTAGATATTTGTCACCAGACCTTCCCCTCTTTGATTCCTGAAAATATAATCAAAATGCCAGATACGGATTTCATAATGAAGTGTCGTGGACTGCCATGGTCTTGTACAGAAGATGATCTGCGTGAATTTTTTGGGGGTTAGTTGTTTTATTTTTCACTTTATTAAACCGAGTATATAGGTAAAGTCACTGTTGAGAAAGTCAAGTAATGCAATAAAATGACGATTTGAGGAAGTTATGAGGTTGAGTTTTTCGGTTTTATATTTTACCCTCGTACCTTCTACATCGAAAATGTAGAGAAATGTAGAGCTTTTTATACCTGAAGTGAGCATGAAAGTTATTTAAAAACTTATTTATAAATCTCACTTCCCTCACCATCATCTCAGTACAAACGGTGTTTAGCTTTTTAGCTATTTATACGTTGCCTTAGAAAATCCTAGGATCAAGATAATGAAAAGTTAGATAGAAAATTGTTGTTATCAATCTTAGGATCAGAGTGGAGGAAAAATGAAGTGTAGAATTGTTATGATGAATTGTTTCTCTCAAGCGAGTTTTATAAAATTTGATGGCAGATGAGTATATTTTAATTTTAGTCATGAATAAAGTCCATTAAATTTGATATTATCTTCAGAAGCAGCAAGATCAATTACTCAGATAAAGCTAACGAAAGATCGTGATGGACGTGCAAGCGGTGAGGGATTTGTTGTATTTAGCAATCGAGAAGATTATGACTTTGCTTTAACAAAAGACAAAAAATATATTGGTAAACGATACGTGGAGGTTAGTTTGTTTCCTTGATTTATTCATTCATATATGTTGTCGTTAGTGACAAGTGCTTAAAGCGGTGATATTCACTTAGGAATTTATTTTAACAAGTAACATGTATTGAAAGAGAACACGGATTGAAATAATCTAGTTTCATCCGGCTCTTTTCTTATTTTCAGTATATACTATCGTCATCCATCGGTCTTTTTTCTCATTTGGGGAAGGATTTATACAAATTTTCATTTGTCTTTGTGTAAATTTCGGTGTGAGTGGGACGTGAAAGAACTTGGTAGTTTTTTACGGTCTTGTTAAAATAGATTTTAAAGCCGGATTTTTACTTTACCGAAACAAATCGATTACTGTTAAATTTTTCAGTTAAATTTTCGAAGTATTTTGTTTCCTCATATTGGGCTTTTTTAAGCTTCAACAAGTATCATCGATGGAGTCGGATTGTGATGATGGTGACAAGCGTTACGGAGAATCAGTAACAGATCCAAATTTGCCTGGCCGTGAGACATCTATCGTTAGATTGGGAGGCTTACCATACGGTTGTACTAAGGAAGAAATAATGCGTTTCTTCGAACCACTTGAAATAGCTGATAAAGGTACTTCTAATTTACATCAAATACAATTAATTTGTTCATGTTGAAGAAATTCATTTTTTATAATATGGTTCTTATTGCTGCAGTGGAGGTATCAGAATTACTTGAAAAATAATGCATGATAGTTCAACAACTGCAAATTTTTTATTACTAATTTCATCTAAAATTGCAATTATATCTTAAATTGATGTATTCAAAAAGGCTGTAGCTTGACCTGATGGAAGATGATTTACACTGTTTGAAATCTCGCTGTCAGCATGGATGTTTAATAGAGAAGAGCATGTGAGGTTGCATAGTATGCTTCAGTTAATCTTTCCAGGTATTGTTATGACCTACGATCGTTACAGTGGAAAACCAAAAGGCGAGGCTTTCGTTGCATTTAATGATGATGACTCTGCTTCCAAAGCGCTTGCTAAAAATAAGGAATACATTCAGCATAGGTATTGTTCTGTTAGTGGATTCAATGTTCTTAATCTAAAAAAAGTGTTTAGTTATATCCAGTATAATCACATTTCGTTATTAAGATATGTGGATATATATCCGTCGTCTTACGGTGAGATGCTTCGAACTTTGGATGGAGGTTTTGATCCATACTATGGTAGCGGTCGAGGATGGGAAAGAGATCGTCGCCCGAGGGGTTTGCCATATGATCGTCCAGGTTCTGATCGGGGATATCGCGATTCCAGAATGCACCGAAATGGTTTGTTCATGTTCAAATTTTTAGAATTGAAAATCATGAAAAAACAAGTACGGGTTGATGAAAAAGGTCATCAATTCAAGTTTGGGAGAAAAAGGGGGATTTGCTTGTGAAAGCCAAGGTGGATTCTATAATGGCTGGTTGGGAACAGATGAGTTGATTAGCGGTTTATCAGATCTGATTATTCTGGGTCTTGCTGGAAATTTTGGACATGTCTGGGATCGCTGCGATCTTGGAAAGTATTCGGAAATCTGCTGAGCTATGGTTCTATTTTGGGTATTAAATGTGAATGTGAACGGGGGGTTGCAGAAGTATGGGCCGACAGATATGGTGGTGGTAGCGACGGTTATGATGATGGGTACGGTGGTGGACGTGGTGGTGGAGGACCAATGCGACGGGGTTGGAGAGATGAACCGCCGATGGGTGGCCATAGGGGGTATTCACCACCGCGGCGTCGTTACACGACGCCGCCACCGGAATACTGTATACGGATGCGCGGTCTTCCATATCGGGCCACGGAACGCGACATAATCGATGTAAGTTACAACAATAAAAAGTATGTTTACCTACCTAAAATAGGTTAAAAAAGTAGCTGGACATATGGGATCTGGCGAATAGTGATTTTCATATTGGAGACATTCTTCTGCATGTGTTTGGAATCGACATTGACTGGCTGGTTGATTACAAAGGGGTTTTTTTTTTGTGAATTGGTTGATTCAGTTTTTCTGGATTGATATTCTGGATTGGGGCTTGATTTGCGATGATTTTATTATTTTGAGCAATTTTATAGAGGTATATTGATTTTTAGTTTTCATTGACATCTAATCGTGATATTTCACTAATCATAAAGTATCACTAATCGAATCTTTTCATACGAAAATATGTGTATTTTTTTGGCAGTTTCTTATCTGTTTAATATGTTATATTAATCGATTATCAATGTAGTCAGTGATTTAAACAATGTTTATGTGAAATAGTTAAGTCTCGAATTTTGCAACCTTTATTAACTGCTGAAGTTTACCAATATTTCGAAAAATTTAGTTTTTCCAACCGCTGCGGCCAGCATCGATTGATGTGCTGTACGAGTATGGAACGGATCGTCCTAGTGGTGAGGCAATTGTCGAATTTAGAAATCGAGCAGATTTTGATGCTGCCATGCAACGCAATCGAAATTATATGGGCATGTCTTTCTTATTTTAAATTCGAACTAATGGGGAGAATATCACTTAGTAAAATTCATTAAGCGCAAGTTTTTGAATATGTTTCGAGAATGGTGCATGGAAATGGTTATCTCGCTTACACTTGATTAACTTTTATTATGATTTACCAACTTCGTATTGCGACCAACGATTTTGGACGACAAAATATTACTAGTTTTATTTCTGTATTTTTTACAAAATGTGAGTTTGTCTGTTTCAGGATCACGTTACGTAGAGCTCATCCCGGAACACTGAAATCCATTATGGAAGAAGCCATGAATTTCCAGAAATTTGATCTTCGTATAAAATTATCAATTAGTGGAATTGTGCAACACAATTGTTCTTTCCTTTGTTCATTTTTCTTTTCATTTTTACTTTTGTTTTTTGGCGAAGTATTTACTAAAGAAAAGCTTCATACTTGCAATGCTCTTTAGCTTTTTCGTTTTTCACCATCCCTCAAAGAAATCGGAAAACCCTCCAATTTTAGTTCGAGTTATACAAGTGGAACATTGTTCAGGGTAGGAACTTTGGTGAAACGTAAGTAGCAGAAGACTGTTTATTGGAAGAAAATAAAGCATTACTTATATTCAGCATTCGCAGCTTTATCAGCATTTCTAGGCGATCATATTTTTTCGTTTCAAATTATTTAACTCTAAGAAGAGTGTATTGTTCTCAAAGCGCAGATGTAAGGTCTTTTTTCTGTATATTTGATTTTCGAGGTCCAGTTATTAACTGTGCGCTAAGCATTTTTGGAACTAATTTTCGTATTTTTCTTGACGTTCTTAATAAAGTATTGAGCGGTGTACTAATCTTGATCGCCGTTATCGACATTATGTACCTATCATATCATTTTTGTCCACAATTGCATTATTTGATTCATTCATGAATGAATCAAATAATGCAACTGTGGATATCAACAAAACTATATAAAAAATAAATAAATAAATAAAAAGATGCCAGCAAAACTATATAAAAAATAAATTTTGACTAGCTGCACTTGGAAGACTGTCCAAATATAATTTGGAAGTGGAAAAACCCTAAGGAAGGCTTCATCTTTTTCCCACTGCTCATATAAATTATTGATTGTAAAAGCAAGATAGCCTTAACAATATGCAAAATTTGTTTATCAGTTCAGGATTTGCATGATTTCTTCATCAGAGATTTAAATATTGGTATGTCTACATAAGGTTCTAAGTCTCAAATTAAGCGTCAATTTTTCATCAGGACTGATACAGTAATGTGTATGGAAAACAAAAGTGGTAAATACTGGGTCGTGTCCTCGTGAGTTTCCTGAGTTGCTAGTGCTATTTGTCCTACACTAGTCACTTCAGTAATTGTAAATTCCAAAATCTGGAATGCGAAAAGGTTTGAATACTAAAAAAAGCATTCGAGCGGGATGTGTTAGATTTCATCAAGGGAACCAGGAATTTGAGATATATAGAATGGTAGCGCGACTTTGGTATGCTTTTGGTCCAATAATATTTCCAATGATCTTATTGCGGCATTTTCAAAATCTTATTCTGAGCCTTATTAGCTGTCAGTTTTGCCATTCCTCTAATTTCTAATATTGTTGCGTTTTTGAGCTGCCAAATTTCGGAATTTTATCGGATCGAAAGATTTTTCTTCAGATAAACTTTGAATCAAATGAATTAGATTTTCGGAAGCCTGAAATAGCTTAATAACTTCAAGCGAAAAATGCATTTATTATAGAATAAGATTTGATTGAAATAGTTTTTGAATATACGGATGAGCTATATACTAAAATGTGATTATTTTTCGAGAATTTTATTCCTTTACGTCTCATTTGCAACTTGATTGGAATAGCGAATAAATGATCTTAATGATCGAATGAACTATTTTAACCTTCATTCGTGTAGAGATGAATCGAAAGCTACTGAAGTTCTCAGAAAAAGCAATCCTCCTGTGATAAAACTGATGATTAAATCATGTTTGCAGAGAAAAACGTAAACGCCGAAAAATTTATAGTCAAACAAATAAGATTGGGGATGTAAATGCCGGGGATTATGATCTCAATGTCGACACACTTTTACATGATTGGAACTCCACGTATGTGAAATCATCCTAGCATAGAACTCATTTTTAACTTTACTAAAATTATAGTTTAGTACGGTCTGTTGTATATAATCTTATGGTATGATTCAAGTATATTCATATATTCTTAAGTATGATTGAATATTCTCAATGAAGTGTTATCAGTTTGAGTTAAGATTGTTTATTTCGTATTATTAGAAGGGGTGCGAAAATAAAACTCAAAAATAAGCTTTAATTCTTTCAGGTATTTATCTTATCGGACATCATCAATATTCATTACCACATTCAATGTTAACGGGCGTATACCGAAACTGGATGGAATATCAGGCTGGTTAAGTTGTGAAGGCATTTTTCCACCTGACTTTTACATTATTGGGTTTGTTTTTTTCATTTAAATTGAATGGAAAAAGTGGATCATGTTAAAACAATTTTTTAAGTAATAGATGACTTTGGTTCAGTGTCTGCTATTTTTTAAATAAGTCTAAAAGAGTTTTCGGTTTCCCCCTTACATTGTATTTTATCTCTGGTTCAGTATTTTCACCGGTACCGATTTCCAGGCTTCAAGAAATGGACTTGTCGCCACAAGCTTTCATAATGAATACATCGACACGACACATGGAATGGAAAGTCATTATTGCAAAATCTTTTCCTGAAGGCACTAATTATGATCTGGTCAGTTTTTTTTATTGTTCAGAATCTTTTCTTCGTCTAATTTCATATGGTTATAAGTTGACCGCTTTATCTCTTACATGCATTCAGATAGGTGAGGTACGATTGGTGGGCATACTGCTGGCAGTTTACCGACGTATAGGGAGTAAAATCAAAGTACGTCCATCCGAAATTGACGCAGTTTTGGTACCCAGCGGTCGATGTAATGTGCTTGGAACACCTCTGAGTAACAAGGTATTGTTTTTGGTGCCTTTTAATAGGTTAATTTGAAGACGCAGTAGAAATTACATCTTAAACAAAAAGATTTTGTTACATTTCTTGACTGGATTACGCATTTTGTACTGTTGAATTTTTAATCAGTTTCAGTGGAATAATATGGTGATGGAGTCTAGTACTTGTTTTAGAGAATAAATGCATACTGAAATTACACGATAATTCCACGGATAACAAATAACAAAGTCATAAATGTTTTGTGTACAGAATTTTGAAAAATATACTTGTTCTTTCGTAATACGAAATTGTTTGGTAAATTTGGATTCATAGGGTGGTGTTGCGATAAGCATATATATGAATGATACAGCAGTATGCTTTGTGAACGCACATTTCGCCGCTCATCTTGAGGCAAATGAAAAACGGATCATGGATTATGAGTATGTTTTGGAGTATAAATTAAGAGCTTTATTAAATGTTAAACTTAGCTCAAAGATTTTTTACAAACATTCAAATTGTATGAAATCTTGATAAGTTTCAGACACATCGTCAAAAGTATATATTTTCGTCGAAATGGTAAAGCACTTTTCGAACATGATGCTATTTTTTGGTTTGGTGATTTAAATTTTCGCCTGGATACTGCATATGGAATGAGTAACAATGAATTACGTGAATTATGCAATGATAATGAAGCATTCAGAGACATGATCATTTACGATCAGGTAAATAACGTATAACTCGGAAAATTTCAATTATTAGATGATTTTTGTGGTATTGATGTTGAAAAAAAAGACCAATATACTTCGAGGTTCCATTTCATATGAGATAATTTGCTAGATTGTTCGAGGTTTAAAAATAAATTTTAAAATAAGATATTAAACTTTATCGTCCAGTAGATTAAGCAGTTATTCACCACTAAAGCTTTGTTAAAACTATAGGAATCATATCAAAACAAGAACTGTTATGCGGAATACCTTAACTTCGTTATGTTTGCTGATATAAAATGTAAAAATCTTGGGCTTGGTTTAAAAATGTTCCATATTTGATGAGTGCTTAGTTTACTGAATAGAAGGGTTTGATTTTTCATTGTGATATTACATGCCTAGAATGCTAGACTGCTTTTTATTTAGCTTAAGAGAGCGATGAAACTCAAAACCATATTTAAAAATTTCAAAGAACCGGAAACTTTGAATTTTCGTCCAACTTACAAATATGATATCAATTCCGACAACTGGGACACCAGGTCGTGCCAAACAATTTTTTATAAATTTTTCCTTTTCTTCTCATCAGAGCTTAATTGTGAAGCAATTTATTTGAACTTCTGAAATTTCAAAACTGATATATTACTTGACGGAATCACTTAAAATTTTTGAGTATTAATTAGTTAGTGTCTTTACAAAGAAAAGTCATCAAAAGAGAATTGCATTATCAATTTGTCATCTCAAACTTGTTAAGCAGTTATTCACCACTAAAGCTTTGCTAAAGCTATAGGAATCATATCAAAACCAAGAACTGTTATGCGGGATACCTTAACTTCGTTATGTTTGCTGATATAAAATTTAAAAATCTTGGGCTTGGTTTAAAAATGTTCCATATTTGATGAGTGCTTAACTTACTGAATAGAATGGCTCGAAAGTTGTGAGTTCATCTTATTATTTCAAACATGTTGTCTTTTCGTCATATTTTGCAGACATCTAAGATATCATCTAAGCCTCATATCTTCTGCTCCCTCAACGTCCGACCCATTCTCTACGTTGATTATTGTTCACTTGAATAGCGAAGTTAACTTTCAAATCACTCCATTTTTCTGATCTTTTGCAGCAAAAAAAAATGTGTACCGGCCTGGTGTGACCGAATTTTATGGTGGAATCAGAAGGATGTTCACATCAGACAAAAATTTTACGACAGTATACCATCCATCAAATTTTCGGATCACAGACCAGTTAGAGCCCTTTTTTACTTGGGGGTACAAGAAATTGATTTCATCGAATACGATAAGACTTATCGAAGAGCGTTCAGAGAAGCAAATCGTCGCAACGATTATCGCAATACGGAAGAAGAAAAGAAAGTGAAATTGTGATTTGCATTTGGATTTGTCCATGTGGCGATTCTTTTTTAGTTGTGAATAATTAAAATTATTGCAGCTAATTGAAATGATTGATCGTTTTACTGGTTTCTGAAGCTTTCCAAATGTTGTATTCTAATTTTCAGTTAATACTACCAAATCATTTATTTGTTGGTCAAAATTTTGATAGAACTGTTTTGGTCAGCGTATCCAGACTTACAGTTTTGAACTGGTTGAGAAGAAATTAATTCCGGAAAGAATCAAAGAATTGATTTAGCGATTTAGATGGTTGCAACTGAAATGAATTAGGAGCTTCATAATTCTTCACTGTAAAGTAGTAAAGACTTTTTGCTTTTTTCGATTTACTGCCAAATCTTTTTCATATTTCCTACTGGAAGTTAATTGCACAAGAATCTTTTAGAATGTAATTGATGATATTTAAGTATTTGAGAAATCTCTGCTTTATTATTAGGCAGTATAAGTTGATCGGTATTACGGAATGATTCATCATTTGTAGTTACAAATATTAGAAAACGAATCGATCTCAGTTTATCTGATTAAAAAATTATTTTACATATTCTAATTAGCTACTGATTATTATTTCAACATAATTGGAACATATATCGTTGTGCCAGTCGTTTTGTGATATAATTTTAATCGTAATACATTGATTTTAATATATCATACATGCATAATACATATATATATATCAGTATATTTTATATTTACATAGCTGAATTAAATTGGTTTGCCGTGCCTCATTTTTTGGCATTAATAACTTGTTTATTGATCTCTCTTTTTCATTCGTTTGTTTGCGTTAAATATGGTACTGATGAAAACTTTTATGTGAAGCAAAATTTTACATTAGCACCATATTTGACCAAATTTGAACTCGTTTCCCTGTATAAAATGATAGCGTCAAAAGCTACGCGAAAGATTTCGAATGTTTTCCAGAATTTACAGGTAGTGAGTGCATGGAAAGTATGATGGGAGAATGACCTTCTACACTGTTGGAAACGTTACACCAGCGTTTTCTCGTCGAGATGATATTGAGGAGGTCATGCGTGATTGGGAAAAGAGGTTAGCTTATTTTTACAAATTCCAGCAATTATTCCCGTAAATTTACAATTTCCGATGACGGATACCAATTACGATTGCAGTTGCATTTATTACGGACAGCTGATCTGTACATATTTATCATTTTCATTTTTTCTTTTGATCGATCTATTGCCATCAAAAGAGAAAATGAAAATTCTTGCGATGCAAGAAAACTCACATATCTCTCTACGGTATGCTGCTGCATTATGCCATTTATTTTCGCAATTTCTCCATTTTTCAATTTGATATTGCTCATAACTCATAATTATGTTCATCAGCACAGTAAATAATATGCTTGTTTATTACTAATTCTACTGTTTATTCATTTGCAGGTATTCGACGTATACTGCAATATCGATATTTATCACAACATTCAATGTTAATGGTCGGATGCCAGAATTTGAAGATTTGTCAAATTGGTTAACCTGTGGCGGAGCATCTGCACCAGATTTTTACGTTATTGGGTTATTTTTTGCTTTCAATAAGTAATTTCAGAAATAAATTCATCGCTTACTGCAAATAATTGCCTCTTCCAGCATTGTAACATTACATTTACAGGTTTTACTGTTGTAGGATGACTGTTTTGACTAAATTCCTGAGTCGCTCTGAATGCAAAGAAATTTACGCATTGAAAGAAGAGAAAGCTTATCGCTGATAGAACATATGATTCTTTTTGCATAAGAATTTAACGTTTGAAAGCGAAATTTCAGATTTTTCTCGCGATTTGGAATTATTAGATATAATTCTAAGTGGACAATTATCGTGAATTTAGAGCTATAGATTTCTACATTATGAATAACTTTAAAGCAAAAGCGATTTTTTGGGATGAATTGTCTTAACAAAATATAATTCCAGATTGCAAGAAATGGATCTTTCTCCCCAGGCATTCATCATGAATACTTCAGCACGTCATTCTGGATGGCAGACTGTCATCCAAAAGTTTCTTCCTAATTCCACTAGCTATGTTCTGGTATTAGATTTTTCCTTTTTTGGGTAGTTTAAAGAAGATCTAAGCTTATGGGTATATGTATGCTCAGTAGTATAGTTGCAGCATTACATGTTCAGGACGTAACGACATATTTAGGTTTAATATTCCGCGATGCTATTCAGAGTAGTTTTTATAGGTCCAAGAAGTGCACTTGGTTGGCATTCTGTTGATGATTTATCGTCGCATTGATTGTAAAGTTCGAGTGGATGATGCAGCTACTGATGTTGAAATTGTGCCGACTGGTTTCCCATTATTGGGTCGTATGGGTAATAAGGTATAAGCAATGTGATGGCAAAATGATCGCTTAAAATGATGTTTTTGAATTAATACGAATAATAACCAAGTATTATTTAGGGGTGGTCTTCTAGTGTTATTTTATTTTCCGATGTTCATTGAGTTTTATTTTCTTAGAAATTCTCTATATTCTTTATATTTTCAAAATACTTTTTTAAACTACTGTCGAAGTTATGTATACTATTCTCTTACGATGAATGATAGAAACTTCCAGCACCAGCCATTCTTTCCTGCAGAAAAGAAATGATTTCGTCGTTTGTGTTTAATTTCGAAGGTTACTTTAGGGTGGTGTGGCAGTCAGTTTACAGATTAATGATAGCTGTCTTTGTTTCGTGAATTCTCATTTTGCTGCTGGACAAGAGGAATCGGAAAAGCGAAATCAAGATTACAGGTTATCGTAAGAAATGAAATAAATGGTACTATGATAGACAATCATATTTGTAGCGTAGAACTAGGAGGATATTCAGGAATTTATGGATAAAGTGCTTTTCAATTTTGTTTTTAGGGAAATATCACAAATCCGTTTTCCGAAAAGCAATAAAAGTTTGTTTGATCACGATGTCATATTCTGGTTTGGTGATATGAATTTTCGTCTAGAAACTAATAATGATTTGAGTAACGACGATTTCCGACGTCTCTGTGCTGATGAGAATACATTTAGAGATATGATAGTATTTGATCAGGTAAGCTTTTATAAGTAGTATGGTTTTTCTTTCTTATATTTGAAATTTGTGAACGATATTTTTAAGTCGAATAGTTTGACCCCTTTTTGCGATTCCTTTGCGATTCTCAGTCAAAGACCATTAATTTATATAAAATAAGATCGTTGTGGATATCAGTTGTGTAATTGTATATTTGAATTTTTTTTCAAAAAATTTTGACTTTTTTAGCTAAAGAAACAAAAAATGCTTAATCATATATTTGTTGATTTTAACGAACCAGATGTTTTAAATTTCCGCCCTACATATAAATATGATCCCGGAACAACAAGGTGGGATACCAGGTTAGTTATAGCTTCTTGTTCACTTCTTATGTAATTGCAGATCGATGTTATATGTGAATTTTACACAGCTTGTTAAGCTTTGTCATTCATCATGAAACTTCAATTGATATAGATGATATGATAAATTTAAGCTTATTCTGAGATTTATTTTATTTCATTCTACTTAGCTTAATTTTAATTTTCCGAAGTTTTTCCGATTATGACATGTTTCATCCATAAATTTCATGGACGTGCTATTGCTTTTAAATAGTATAGCGATTGTTATGTTTAAGTGAGAAATGTCGTTGTCCAGCTTGGTGTGATCGGATTTTATGGTGGCATCGTGATGGAGTGAATATCCGGCAGCAATTCTATGAAAGTGTAGAATCAGTGGTATTTTCTGACCATAAACCAGTGCGGTCTATATTTCATGTAAAAATACGAAGTATCGATGAAGCTAAACGGGACGCTTGCTTAGAAGAAGCTATAAGAGAAGCAGATCGGCGTGCCAATGAGGCACTTCCGCAAATTGAGTTGTCGCAAAGCGAAGTAAATTAAAATCATTTTTTAATGATAGATTTTAATTAAGTCAAAGTTTCTCGTAACAGCTCTATAACTTGCCACTGACAATCACTGTTGATCACTTTTTTCATCTTTTCAGGTGGATTTTGGCAAAGTATATTTTTTTCAAAGTGCATCCAGGATATTAACAATTAAAAATACGGGTAAAACGAAAATTTCATTTTCATTCGATGCAAGACCAAATCGTGCTGCACTTTGTGAACCTTGGCTCTCTGTTACACCTCCCAGTTCAAGGCTTCAATCGGGTGCCTCCTGTACCATTAGTTTGCAGGTTTTTTCAAAAAATATCTGCAGAATTTTAATTTATCACGACAAAAAATATCATTTACACTGTTATACCTCTTTCAATGTCAATGCGATTCCACTGAACAAAACTATATAAGTCTTCTAAAAATGGTTCTTTATGCAACATCAGCTGGCATGACTTATAATGTTGGAGGCGAATCATCTCGATGTAAATTATAAACTTTGAGTGTGCTTATAAAATGAGAAGTAAATTTCTAGTCTTTTTACAGATTCTTATCGATAAGGAAGTAGCATGGACAATGAATGGTGATGGGAAGCTATCGGAAATTCTGGTACTTCGATTGCATCACGGGAGGCATTATTTTGTCACTGTTTCGGCTCATTATCAACACAGTTCTTTTGGTTCATCGTTTATTCACCTAATTCATAAGGAAAAAAAGGAAACATGTGCATCTGAACTCGTTAACCTGGTATGAAATCTGGTTTGTATTGAGATAAATTATTGTTATGTTAAGGAAGATATAAATTTGTGAAAAAAACGTAAGAATTAAATAACTGATAATAATTCTATACCTTTAAATAATATTCTCACTGCTTGTTTGAAAGAATTGAATTCGTAGGACTTCATGGATTTCCTCTTTCGATTTGAAATTTCTTTTCAGTTTATTTTCAGACTTTTACTCCTACATCAGTTATATCTGCTGTTATGGCTGGTGTACCGGAATCTGTTTTTCGGGTTAGTGAAGCATTAAAACAAAATGGTTTAGAAAAAATTTGTTTTGATGATCCTTCTGCGCACAGCGAATTCATAGCATTACGAAATGCTTTGGATACTGGAAAACCAATAAATTTGTGTAACTTTTTCACTATTCTTTTCTTGCTTTCTTCCTCTTCATCGGATATCATTTTTTTTTGGAAAACTAAAAAAAATTTACATCTGAAATTTGAATTCATTTAGAAAAATTGAAACTTTTGGTCTGATGATAAAGTTCGTTAACTTTTCAGTTGAAGCTTGCAAATCAGCTTTCAGCATGTATGATACTTTTCTAACACTTATTACTTCCTTCAAAGGTATTTGACGTTTTTATTTGGAAATCTTAGACCTTTTCAAATTTTCAGGTATTATCTGAGAAATGACAAGCAAGAAATATTAGGTTGCATCCTTTCTCTTTGTACTGAAAGCTGCAAATTTTCAGTTTTTTTTGGACAAATCTAAATGTGCTGTAATTATGTTTATAAATTCAATTGATTTTTTGCAAAAAATAGATGTCAGGAATATCAGAGACTCGCTGCAACTTTTTCTCAGTGAAAATAAGTGGTGATTTTAGAAGGTTGAAGTTATTTTGAATGTTAACTTCAGCTACTTGATATGTACCACTTTACACACAGAATAGATTATAATGTCAATTCTAATGTCTTTGGTAATAATAATCATAAAGACATAGCGGAAACAGCTTAAGAATACAAAATTCATTAAGAATTGTTGTCTTTCTTATAAGTGTCTTTTTTGAAAGCTGTGCTTAATTTATTTAGCATTTATAGTCTTAAGAGTTCTTACTTTCAGAATCTATAATACCTCCAGCTTTACAAACAGAATGTTTGCGAGCAGCCGGTGATATTAATAGTTGCTGGTCTTGTATCGAAAAATTCCCTGTCGAAAATCGCAATATGTTTATCTATTTTATTGGCTTTGTTACTGAATTGATGGAAAAGAATATCACTGCTAATAGTCGGTTTTATCTTTCTTTTTCTATGTCTGCTTTTTTGCTAGATTTTCACTTTCATTGCACGCAGTTTTCTGAAGTGACTATTATGCTTGCAGTGGCTTAGGTTCGGATTTCATGAATAAGTTATTTTTGCACATGATTACCATTAAATTGTGTTTTGGTGACTTATAATGAACTTGCTTCACTTACAAATTAGAATTAAGCTCATTTAGCAAAATATTTGAAGAATTTTAGAGTTTGTATTTTTTCTTTTATAAGTTGGCTATTTTTAGCAGTTAGACCTAACAAATAAACTTTGCCGAATTCTTACTATACTGCAATACAACCTTGGAATGTAGTACAAATTCTCAATATATTACTTTAATGGTTCATATATTTTTCAAGCCATATCGATTATACTTTTAACGACTTTAAATTTTTGTTATAATAAAAAAAATTGGATTTCAACACTAACTTCTCGCATATTTCAGTTTTATTTAATTTATTTATTTTAGTGTTTTTTGTTGTTAATGACAGTAACACTCGGAAAATGTCTACCATCTAGCACTTATTCAAAATTGACACTTAATATGGAACAAATTATTTTGAACCTGCAAGATTCTGTACTTTGCATGTCCAGCATTAATTCTTGCAAATACTTATTTTCATTCAACAATTCAGAAATTCAATGGTAGATTTTATTTCAGCTCAAATACAATTGCTAGCGGATATTATATTCAAACGACCGACTGGTCAAGATGGTTGTTTGCAACGTTTGAAATTTTTGGAAACATTTATATCTGGAAATCGAGAAAATAGCAGAAATGCTCCATCACTCCCTGCACGTTGCCAGCATGACGCTGATCTCATTATTTTGTGATATCCTTTGGGATTGTTATCCCTTTCTGCTAGTTTGGTCAACGAGGTTATATTCTCTATTGCGTTTGATGACTGTATTATGTGTGAAATTAATTTTTATATAGATTTCTACTTGTCATATTATTAATTAGCTGTAAAATAATCCCAGGTTTTTCTTAAACTACTCCAATGTTGTCACTTCGTGTTTTATGATGCTTCTTTAATTTACTCATTCTTAAATTAGCAGAAATCATTCCTTTTTACTGCGTTTACCAATTATTTGCTGTAATTAATTGTAATGTTGTCTTGTATTAAGCAATTTTCAGCATTCAAAATCTCTACTCATGGAATAATAGTGCCATGTCCAAAACAATATAATTTATTATAGCATTTGTTCATTTATCTTCTTAAATGACTATTTCATCTGTTAAACCATTTCGGATATATGTGGAACGCATTGCTGTCATTCTAGTTTAACGTGAATTAAAGTTTTATTTCGAGAAATTGGCATGTTTAAGATGTGTAGCAAATGCAAATTAATATACTTCAAACATAGAAATAGCAGTGGCAAGTTGTATGTGGGACATAGTTTCAGAAGCTTTATTTGTATGGAAACAATGATATATCATTTTGATGGACTAAAATTAGGCGGACTGAGAACTATGAATTCGGATCGTTTAAATATGTTGTTTCGTGTTATCATTCTTGAAATCATTTCCGGTAAGGCAATCAATCATCACGGGGAGATGTACCGATCTCATTAACCGAATTGAATAACAAAATAGAAATTACGATATAGTTTTTGTAAACCATGGAAGTAATCGTTGTTTAATTCGTTGTGTCAAATGGAGCTGTTGTAGTGGTCTTTCGTGGAAGAAAGGCTTCATGACTTACGTACTTTAATCTACATTTTTCCGCATATTATATGCTTATGCGAGCTAGCTACCTGTTTATATTTTTGAAATCTCTTTAGACGGTTTTTAGTGATATTAAAAGGAGAGCTCTCAAAAAATAACGGTTACATTAAAATAATTTGATGGATAGGAAGTGGTTTCCATTCCTCTACGTCTGAGTCCAATCTCTTATCTTGTATTTGTTTTGAAATATCGTTCGGTTGATCACTCTATTAAATCATTTGGTTTCTCTATAATTCTATTAGACTGTCATAACGGCAGGTGTGTTTCTCAATGGATTGGCGTTGAATGTCCTTCCAGGGATTCTTTGCGAGCTAAAAAGTAATGACTACCTGTAGCATATATCGTATTTTCGGATTTCAAACAATTTTGAAAATTTAAATATATGCTGGTCTCTTTTAGCAAAATGAACAACATCACGTCATGGATGCAGCAAGCAAAAGAAGTCACTAAAAAAATCTCCGATATGATGTATATACCACCAGCGGATAATACTCAATCAGAGAAAATCTTGGATAATGCTGTATCCGAGGAAATACGCATTAAAATGAAAACTAAAGAAAACTCCATCAGCTTAAAAGAAGTGGAAAACAAAGAAAATATCTCATCGACGGTAGAACTTGGAAATACTGATGTTAATCGAGGTGTTGGAGGATTAGGTCGAAGCAAGCTTGAAACTAATGCTGCTACGACTGTCGAAGCTGCAAGGAAATATGCAAGTAGAAATTTTTCTTGGATTCAGATTCTTGTTTTTTTATTAATTTCTAAATGGTAAAGCTTTATAGGCTACATAATAGATATAATAGATATTGGTTTTGTTATATTGATCGGTTGTAGCAAAGAAGACATGCTTTAAAGCTGACGAAGGCCTAATTGGCTAGTAAGCCAAGGGGACTTACTGCAAGTTTGTTAAAGTATTCTAAACATAAAAGAAAAGGTTAAACATTTCCATTTTACGCGATATATCTCATTTTGTCCTATTTGTAGATTCCTTGTTTTCTTTGGCAAAAGAGGCTACAGCAAAAGCTGCAATAACCGCTGAAGAAACCGCGAAAAAACTGCAAAATGCTGTCACTGAAAAGGTATAAGCTTAAAACATTTCGTTCAACAAGTGGTGTTACAGTTTTAGATTTGAAAAATATATACGTTCTTTTCTTTTTGCTGCTGTAATGCCAAAAATCTACCATTCTGTCAATGTGAACTGACATGTGACATGACACTTAAAATTTGTTCTTTTTTTGATTAAACATTCTGTGATATCGTTGTGAAAACTCAATAAAGTTCTCTTCGTTTATAATTGCATTAATATATCGATTATGGCGTCATTACTTTTGCAGACAATAATTGGTAACTTGGATAAAGAGCAAGCGAAATTCAAAGACGAAGTAAATGCAAATAAATTAACAGCTTGCATATTACCGTGGTCCGATCTGCCAGATCAATGGGTTGCTAAAAAACACATTTTATCACTCTCACTGGTAATTTTTTTGATATTATCCCTTTTAAACGACTTTGTCTTTTGAAATAACTATATTTACTTTATGCTTTGAATGGAACTAAAATCATTTAACTTCTATAAATTTTTTTGAGATATAATCATTCGCTAAATCGGGATTCTTTCCTTATGTTACTGTATTATTTCAGATTTAACTGCCCTTAGCTTTGAAGGTAATAAAATTATAGATATTGGTTGCAAGATTGCAAGCACTTTTTATTGAGTTTAAATTTTATTACCTCAGATTTCTTCTTTGTTTTTTGCAAATGCTACTACCCCTTTGCTGCATAAGATTTGTTTGACGTTTTTCTTACTTTTTTTAACATCAAAGAATCTTGTAAATAATTTTTTTGTATCAATTGTATTGCTTGCAGGATGATCGAAATTTTACTCGCGATCCCCCATCAGAGACGAATTTTGACTTTGCACAGATGCAGTCGGTGGCAGCTGCTTTGCTCGAAAATGACCCGAATTTGAGAAAAATTAGATTTCAGCTTGTCCCAAAAAAGTATTGTTTGTTTTATTTCTTCTATGATCCAGTTCGTTTTCAGCTGCAGGAAATCAGCGGTTAAGATTGTACTTTTTGGGACAAGCTGATTAAGATTGTTGTTTGGTTTTAGTCTATTAAGCCTATTTTATACTACAAAGTGCTGCGTTACTAACAGATTTTTTAATGTTTATGCTGTAAAACTTTTTATAGGTTGAACGAAGAACGTTTTTGGAGAAATTATTTTTATCGTGTTTCACTAGTAAGACAGGCAGCTGTAGGACAGAATTGTTTACGCGTCGCAGAAGTCCCCATTTCATCAAAAGCCAACGAGCAGGGAGAAAGTATAAAATCATCTGATTTTGAAGAGAAAGAAGCAGAAGAGGAAAAAGTAAAAATAAACAAAGGAGATAAAATTTCAAAAACCAGTATGAAAGAGCGAAAGGAAGCTGAAAATGAAGACAGTGAAGCGGAGAATAGAAAGCTAAATGAAATTCGTGAAAATATCAGCGCTACACAAGAAAGTTCGCTACTACCGATTTTTTGATTTTTATTTTTTGTCAATTTCTACTAAAACTAGTTTTGAAAAGAGATTAATATTTCCAATTTGATCCACATGATTCATGGTATCCTGCCAATACGCAATTGTGTGTTGTCAGCTTGTTCCAATACTTTGGTTTTGCAGTCACTCTGATCTCGCATCTTGATGAATTATTCATGTTTGTGTCCTTTTTCACACTGTATTTTAAATTAGCTTTTTTTTCAGAGATTGGAGAAGAATTTGAAGGAGATTTTACAAATTCTTTAAATGAATATGAATTTGTAAGTGGTCAAATAGATAAAACAGATGAGCAGTCGGAAGAGAAATTGACTGAAATGGTCAATTCAGCATGAAGAAGTGTTTTCATTCTTTCATTTCTTTGAGCAAATGCTATTCGGTGATGATTGAAAATAGTTTTTCTGTATCATTTTATAACCATATACTGTTCGTCGACTTCACTTAAAATTCCTTGTTTTGAAGTCACTAATATGGAGTTATCCTGTGCAAGCGAAAAGAAGGGAATTCTGAATTGTATTTGAATTGCACTCATTTTTTCTTCAGATAAGTCTAGATTTCTGTGCAAAAAAGCATGTATAGAGTCTAATATTATTATCTCTTAAATAAATAAACTATAATTGTCGTTTAAATTCAAAATATGCTCCCGATGTTAATTAATTTGACATCTTCCCAGTCAGTCCATTTGCTATAAAAATATTTCACAGAGGATATTTTTACCTTCTTTCTAACTTTTCTAACATATTACGTCAGAAAAGTTAAGAAGTAAAGTAAAGTAAGATCTAAAAAGGA